ATGGATATTCACTCTGTGAACCATCAAAAAGGCTCCTGAACATCCATGATATTTTCTTACATCTGCTTCTATGGCAGCAAGAAATACAATGTTTACCATGGCATTTATACAAGTGACAAAACTAGACCAGCCTGCTATCCCGTAACTGTGGAAAGGTAAATAAGATGTTATGGACATAAACACTGCACTGCAGATGTTTGGAGGAGTTAACATGTACGTACAGCAATGCAAATAGAATGGAATATAAAACTGAATGAATTAAGTAATACGTAAGATAAACTCTTTGACATAGTCCTGTTTAGTCACACTAAAGTATATGGTTACATAATGCTGAGGTATAGGTCACTGTTAGAACACATGTAGAGTGCTTATCAATCTCTAGGCTTTACTGCAGGCATAGAATGTGTACATACAGCCAGGCAGTATAATTCACCAGTGATGAGCAGGGGCATAAGAGTGTAAAGAATAAAACACTGTAACAGAATAGTCAAAGAGCTCAATAACGATATTTGGGGCAATATTTCTTTCTATTAAGGGTAATCCTGGGGGCTGGGGATTTAGCTCAGTGGCAAAAGTGCCTGCCTGGCAAGCGCAAGGTCGTGAGTTCGGTTCCCGGTACCGGAGAAAAACCAAAAAAAAAAGGGTAATCCTGTGCGCTAATATTGATCAACATCCCTGGCCTCAACCCATGAGCTGCTCTAAGTTTTGCTCATGCTGTATGTTATAATTTCAACAAAAATTCTGAAACATTCTCACATGTTTTCTGATGTGTACAATGACCGTCATCTGAAACCCACTCATTTAGCAGGTGCAGGGGACAAATAAGCTGCTAAATGAAAAGGCACTCCAAATTACGAAACAAAAACTACAGCACAAGGCAAATTGACAGCTCTGCACCCCAAACCCAAGCTCAGTGGCTCTCCCTAAAGTACTTGCTCTCTAAACTTGCATACCCGCTTCCCTGTCCTCACTATCTGCACTATATTTCAGATATCAGGGGTGTGAAAAGAGAACAGGTTCTCAGTTTGATGCTGTATGATGACATCCACAGGGACAGGTAGAGCCCAGGTTAAAAAATGCCTTGAAGTGAAGCTCTGTGCTTCATCTCAGCTGTGCCCTCAATAACAGGCCATTGCCATGGGCTTTCCTACAATATCAACAAGGTCTGTTGTCACCCTGTGGAGAACCCAAGACACACTTACAGGGATTTCAGGGATTGCAATTTCTTATTTATGGGAACACAGAACAGAGGTTCAAGGTCATCTCTTTTCCCAGAGAGACAGCAATCACTGCAAAGGAGAAAGTGTTTTCTAAGTGATGGTGCTAGACATGCCTGCCTTTGGCCCATTAAGTCATGGGAAGAAATGAGGTTAAATTAAGAGGAAATGTGAGGTCACAGGCTTGAGCAACCCTGTGTAGAAAGGTAGATGATGATTCAAGCTTAAAACAATAGGATGGTTCCCATACTCAGGATAAGTTAAAACACGGAAAGGAAGTTGTTTCTCTTCAACCCTGTACATGCTTGGTGTCTGCCGGTCATAGTACTCAGTCTAATCACTGAAAATTTCCATCTTGTCTTCCTCATTTTGATGAGGCAGTATGGCCAGAGTAGGAAACCTCTGCATAAAATTCACACTCACACACACACACACACACACACACACACCTGAAAATCCATAAGCAAAGAATAACCCTAAGTCATGTTCCGCTTTCCAAACAGTATTATACTGTTCTCCTGATTTGGTTGCTCTGAAGAATCTGGTTAGTATAGCATTCCAAACTGGAAATATGCTGGCCATGGTGGCACACTTCTGCAATCCCTGCACACAGGAGGCAGAGGCAGGAGCACCTCTTGAATTTGTGGCCAGCCTGGGCTACACAATGAGGTCAAGTCTAGCCAAAACTGCATACTGAGACCCTATCTCAAAATAAATGCACACACAAAAATAAAAACAGGAAACAATCGGTGTCAGGTTTTACACAGAAGCATATGAAGAGTTGAAAGAATGAGTCTACAGATGCTACCTAAGTTTCAAAGGGAAAATATCTTGATCAATCCAAAGGAAGGTGAAAATAAAGTTTATTGAAAATAAACAAAATATATCTGATCAAGCATTGGTAAGCCATGGATCCTTTAAACTTGCTCACCACACCAATCCTTATCTGTATTTGGGGAAATTTATGTAACACAAAGCAAAATTCATAATAAAATGCTAAATATCTCATGTACTTTACTGAAAATAATATACTTTAAAATCACCAGTTGTCTACTTGTGATGTCCTGATTCTTACAGAGCAGTGACTCATCATTTTTATCCTCAACCATAATCAAGTATTGCAGCATGCACCCCTAGTGTGAAAAACGAGTAAAATTCAAAATTAACAGTAAAATTTGCACAAAATAACGTTTTTCTTCATTGCTATAGACTTAACTCAGGGCCTCACAAACATTATACAAGTTAATTTAAAGTGAAAGTACACCCCAAAATATTTACTTAATATTGAGACAGGGTCTTGTTCCATTATCCAGGCTGTGCTTGGTGATTTAATACTCCTGTCTCAATCTCTGAGGTGATGTCATGAGGTGCGCACCACAATGACTCAGTGATATTTACTTTATCCAAGCAGACATCTTGGTAAATCCTGGTGATTTAAGAAATCCAATTTGAAACCAATAAAGGGGCACAGGTCTGTCATCCCAGCAAGCAAGTAGGTGGAAAATGTATCAAAACTTTTTTGTGCCTGGGCAACTTAGCAAGACATGGTTTCAAATACTTTTTTAAAAAAGGAAAAAAGAAAAAAAGAAAACAAAAATTTTGAGTGGATGTATCTTAGGGTAAATTTCCTGAGTTCAGTCCCTGTACAATAACAAACTTCAAAAACATCAATAACACCTTGGAATCTTTTGTATCCAGGAAAAACTCCTTCCCATTCTATTTCAAAGATGATGTTTATCCTTTCAAAGCTACACCACCACCAGCTTCTTTTTTGTTTGTTTGTTTGTTTTTGTTTGGTCCTGGGAATCAAACTCGAGACCTTGTGCTTGCCAGGCAGGTGCTGTGCCACTGAGCTATATCCCCAGCCAGTTTCTTAATTTTCTTAATTTCTTAATTTCCAATTTACCTCAAAAATGATTAGGTGAGCTGATAAGTAGTCAGTGAAGAAATGTTTATATATTTCTAAATTCCCTTCCATTCTTTAAGCTTGTGACTTCTGACCCAATCTCAGACCAACCCAGCAGACAGTCCTTCATTTATTATCACACTACAAAAAATCTGAAGTTAGGAGGAGTTTATTGCTGTAGTTATTGACTTATGTCCCTCTCCAAAGTGCCTTCCTGCCCCATTTCCTTTTATTCCTCTTTCTTCTTGCCTATTCTAAAATCCCTTTCATCCTATACATTCATATGCCTGCAGATCTTGACTATTTCAAGACTTGCTTTTTCTTTGTTATTTGAGACAGAGTCTCACATGTAGTTCAGGCTGGGCTTGAACTCCCTATATAGCACAGGCTATCTCTGAGCTCACAAGGATCCTCCTTTCTCAGCTTCCAGAATGCAAGCATTACAGGTGTGCACCCCCACACCTGGCTCAATACTTGTTTTTACAATGTCAGCCTTTAATCACTGTTTTAGTATTTAAAACAATGTCTAGAAACAGTCCACATAATACTTCCATTATTTCACAGATGAAACACCTTTTCTTTTCCATTCATACTAATACCACACATATATGTCGCGGTACATGCCACAGTTCAACGCATATCTCTGTGGGGGTTTAACAGGCAGCCCTTTCTGGAAGTTGTCCTTAGTAAAAACACGTTCCCCTCCTTTGGTGATACACTAACATCCCTTCCACCTTTCTCAGCATTCTAGCCTCTATTAAAAAAGCCTCATTTAAGTAGTCTAAAACTAAAGAATAATTTGTTTTACTATCATATAAATAAAGCACTTAGCCAGGGAAGGGAAAGAGAGATAGAATTGGGAAACAAGATATTTTTATAAGAATTGAAATGAGAATACAATTTTCTACAGTGTTTGAGCAACACTAAACCTTCTGTCCAAAAAGGAATGCAGCCATCTTGTCTCTCCAAAAGGAGCTGCAGTCACGCGCTACTAAGCTCCTGCGTTTCCAGAAATTTAAAATACAAAATAACCAGTTTTCTCTCTAAAAGTCCAGTCTTTTTTAAACCATGCATGCTGACGAAATTGGTTAGAGATCATGAGATCAGAGTGATTGTTTTAAATCCAGAGACATCTTTGATAGGTGGTCGCAAAGCAACTGAACAATTACGGTGCTCTGAGCATCTATAATCACCTCTGGATTGACTGAGCAGCTACATGGCCGCTCCATCGGGATGCTTCCTAGAAATCAGGGAGTTCTTCTGAGTATTATTTCCAGTAAAATCTCTCCTAACAGCCTCCTTCTGTTTCACAACCTCATTTCTCAAGGTTGCGAGACTATACGTACGGATTGTTCACGCAGTACCACCACTGCGAGGAGAGGTCTCACGTAAATAATAAGTGACTATTGTTTTTCATTGCGGAGTGTGTAACCCAGGGTTTCCGCAAAGCCCCAGCTCTCCTCAGACTAGTGGAGATATAGCTGTGCGCGGGGGCACCCAAGAACGCATTTTGGGTTGTCAGTGTCGCAGTGCGGATAGGATGCTGCAGACGCAGAATTGCCCTTGCCTGAGCAAGCGAAAAAGGGGCAGATTGGGGCTGGGGATTTAGCTCAGCGGCAAAGCGCCTGCCTGGCAAGCGCAACGTCGTGAGTTCGGTTCCCGGTACCGGAGAAAAAAAAAAAAAAAAAAAAGAAAGAAAGAAAGAAAAAAGAAAAGAAAAGAAAAGAAAAAGGGGCAGATTATGATGCGGAACCAAAGACTAGGAAGACCTCGCATTCTCGAGCGAAGCAGAGACTATTCATTGCTATAGCTCATTCCGGCCCATTCCAGATCTCACCCGATTCCATCCCATCCCTGTACCCATCCCACAACGTCACCATTGTGTTGCGTGAGAGTCTCGCAGAATCCTTCGATTGCAGATTGCAGCCAGCAGAAGGTACACAAAAGGGTGGTCTAGTCAGTGCGGAGCTCCGCAATGCACTCAGACTGCGTATTTGGGCCCCATGACACAGGAAGTGCCCGCCTCCCTCAGCCTACCTGATTGGGTAATAGAGTCAGCCCACGCCTTCATCGCGGATTGGCTCTTCCTCCATTGCGGACCTGGTCTAAGCATGACAAGAGCAGCCAATTTCTTCCAGCTTGGGGGGAGCCCAAATAACAAATTCTAGCCCAGGAAATTCTGGTTCAGGAAATTCTTCTCTCTCCCGTGAAGACAGTCTCACCTCGCATGAAGAATGCTTGCACTTAAAGGCTTTACTCCTTTTACTTGACTTTTCAAAGCATCCATGGTTTTCTTAATACACTCAGTGGATTCTTCCTGAAACCTGCTCAGAAGGTTCCAGAGTCAATGTCCTATGGAAGATTAGATCCCTTGATATCAGAAAACATCACGAGTCTAGGAAACTCTCGTACAAAATTGAATGGAGGCAAGCTGTGCTGTAGGAAATGCAGTCAGTTTCATTGCCAAAATTTTCACACTGTCCCTCAATCTGCTCGTTTTCATCCATGAAAATGAATATAAGGCCCCCAAGAAGAATACATTTTTTTGTGTAAATAAAGAAATTGGAGTCTCATAATCGAATCCCTATATTCTGGAAAAGAGTAAAGATAAAGAAAAGTAAGCATTCCAACTTCCTCAAATTTCAGACTTTTTTCCAGAAAATACCTGAATTTTGATGATAAGCATATTTACAAGTATGAAAGCTGTAAGTCTCCAACCTAGCCTAACTCTCCTAGCCCCCAGCCTGCTTGCCAGCAGAGCAGAGCACTACTCTCTGCAGGGAACTAAGCTCAGCACTGAGACTGTCACTAGCAAATACAGGAATGATGTAAGATAGGACAAGCAATTTTGTAGGTCCTGGAGACATTTGGAGAAACCCCAAAATTTGCAACACACGCTTCACAGGACTCAACCCACTGAGATGCAAGATTGCCAGAAAACTTTAACCACGATGTTCATTGGGATCTTCCTCACTAATGTCCCCTGCCTTTTCTCCATATCAAAGGGACACACTTCTCTTTGTTCAGGACAGAAAGTCTATTCATGCTCTCTGCCTAAACCCAGACACAATAAGTTCCACGCCATGTTGCCTTTACCCAAGTCTAGTGGTCTCTGTTTGTTATTTACATGACATTTTGGTGCCTAGGCCAGGGAAGGATGACAACGTCTCTTTGGAAGGGTTTAAGCTCTCTCGAACCTCTACCCCAGCTAAGTCTACCCCGCGACATCCTCTGACCATGGTTCCTACAATTCCTGCTGCTACTGCCATGCCAGATCTTGCTGAGCATTTCAGATCGGGTAAGCTACACAATCTGTCTCTCCCTCTTTTTCTCCCTAGCCCTGCCTCGAAGACGACATAAATCCGGGCAGCTCCCCAGTGCCCGCCAAGATGAGTGTTTCAGGTCCGGTAAGCTGGCTCTCTCTCTGGGCTTCTAACACTCTCTGCGCCTTTAAGCTCCCCTCCCCCAAGGTATTGTGCAGGCAGCCGCTTTCAAGCTCAGAAAGCCGCAGCTTTTGGCTGGGTGGATTTTTCACGCTGAAACTTAAATCCTCTCCTCTAAACCTCCTTTCTCTCTACAGTCGACTGCTCATTTCTGCTCTCCTCTCTCATCCCTTGGGACGGAAAAAGGCTCTCTTCTTCCTCTGTGCCTTAAATCTAGCGCTGGTCAGGGTTGGACACTCCGCGGGGAGGCTGGCTCCGCTTGGGGATTGACTTATCGCGGTGACGACTGCCCTTAGTCTCTCAGCCAGGCTCCATCTTGGCCTAGATTAAACTGAAGGCGTTCAGTATAGGCCCTGCTGCCGCTCCTTTTCCCACACCAGGTGTAGGCATGACAATTACGTTTCCCTGCTCTCAATGGGAAATTCTCCTTCCTTCTTTCTCCTACACCTCTCTCTGTACTCAAAAAACAAAAACAAACGAACAAACAGAAACCCTGTCCATCCCTCTCTGCCTCTGCTAGCCTGCCTTCTCCAGAATCTCCGACTTCACCCTTCTCCCAGTCTAAAGCCTAAGTGCTTCTTGATGCCAGAACACAATGCTTTTGATTTTTCCATAACACATAATTAACAGGAGCCTGCACAACACAGCCTTTACCCAAATCCACAGCAAGACCTCAAACAAAGGCCACGCCCCTAGCAATGCCTACCCCAGTGTCCCAGGTCAAGGCAACCCGCAGCCAACCTGCACCACGCCCCTCTCCCCTGCGGCCCCCACTGTGGCTACCTGCCTCCACTAGCTAACTGATCCACGCCCAGCTGCCTTCCTAGGTCCCACACCCACAAATCTCAAGCTAGCTACTGCTCCTCTAACCTTAGGTCATACACTGTCCCCACTCCTATTCGCTTTCCCGAATCCCACTGGCTATTCTACCACACTCCTAGTCCAGAGAGCTACTCCTTTGTCCTCCCTCCCTGCCAGACCTCTCCCAGATCAGAGTCGGAGCTCTTCCTCTTCAGCCTCTTTAACACTCCAGTTTTTCTACCACCTGCCATAAGTTAACTTTAAACCCCTTAATTAAAAAAAATATATATTCAAATTAGACACAGCCCCAGTACCCAGAGGACTGCCGCTCCTCATGATTTTTCTTAGAACATCTTGCAGGCTGGCCACTATTCTCAGAGAGGACCTCTTTCTACACCCAAACCTGGCCCACTCCCACCCGGGAATAGTGAAAATTACCTTGCCTTCAGCTGTGACTGCCCATGGCTTTCACAGCAACAATGCGTAGCCTGTATACCTGGACATCCCAATCACATAAACTGTCAGCTTAGGGCCCATCTTAATAACTGTCTCTGCTTTCACAGATGTAAAAAGTGTTATTCTTTCTGATTCTTATTCCAAGAGATCTCTGTTAATTAACCTAGAAATTTTCTGACTAGTCTATTTATAGGAACAAGTTTAAAAACTGTAAGTTATTATAATTTGATTTAACCAAATATATTTGAGTGCACTCTGATTCTTACATATGTCTGTCTTCCATCCTTAAACAGGTGTTTTATTTGAGCTCAACACATTTTTCTTTGCTTTTCTTTTTTTTCATTTTGGGAAACATGCTTTCACTTATGTTGCCAGCTCGTCAAATTTATGCTATAACTGATTTTATAAATGTAGTATGTATTTCTGTCTGTATACAATGACTCAAACATCTCTCATTGATCCAAATTCCTTGTCCTATATCTTATCTACTTTCCTGTGTTTGCCAATAACAGCCTTACTGCTGAGCTGAGTTCTCTGCAGAGATTAGTGCTTCTGCTGGCAAGTAGGCTGGGTGCCGGGAGAGTCAGGCCAGGTTGGAGACTTACAAAAGCCAGAATGCTTTCTTAAACTAAGTTCAAAATTTTATTCACCTGATCACTTCCTGGTGATGAGGCTGGATAACAAAAAGACTTTCGACTGTAAACTCCCCTTGCCTTGTCATAGCTTATCACAGTTTGAAATTATGTACCTTTCATGTTAATATTCCTAGAAAAAATGACCTGGATTCAGGTGATACATGCACGTTAATAATAAAATGTTTGCCTGGAGAGATGTACAGAATATTATTAACGCACATTTCTTGGTGTCTGTGTGAGATGATAGTGTAAACAGAGGGACCAAATCTGAATCCTGGACCCTTCAGCCCAGCCTCTTCAACTTCATGCTGGATCCCAACTCTCATAAAGTATTCTTTTCCTTTATTTCTAGCTACTACAGACCCCTTACTTGTAAACTTAATTGTTCTCGAGATCTGACTGTGATTCAAGTGGGTTGTAAGTCAAGACAATTTTCCCACAAGAAATAATGGAAATACCCATAGTGTGTACTGAAACTCCCAAAGCACCGCTCAACTAACTTCTTTATATTAAATGGGTTGTATAATGTGCATAATTTAGCAGAAACCCCAATCATTTTCCTAGTATAATCACCAAAAAGTTATAAATTATGCCTGTTTTACCGGAAATGACAATTTCCTACTCTAATCATCATTCAAGTTCACATCTTTAGCTTGCAGGAAGTGAGGATGAAAAAGAAGGTAGTTATTGTTTGGAAGGAACATCAGGAATCTGACTCTCTGCTGTGCTTTCTCTTCTTGGGGCAGTCTGTAGACCACTAGGACCTTCTTGTGGCTTACTGGTTCTCAAAATTCTCAGAACTAAAAACTGGTCTAAGATTGTCTGTTTCTGTCTTTTGTTTAATACTGTCTTGTAGTATGATATGATTAAGCAAATCAATGCAGTGATTGACTTTTTCTCTGTCTTGGTGGGCCTTTTCTGCAAATGTCTGTAACTCTGTCCATTTTTTTCAAGATTTTCTTTATTTCAGAAGGACTTTGCTGCACTAATTGTTGATACTCCCCCTACTCTTCAGAAAGCTCCTCAGCTTTCATTCTTTATTGCTCAACCAGAAGCTGCTGAAGTTCCCCTGTAGACAATTACTCTGAATGTTTCTCTACCAGTTCCTCAATATTACTGCTGTCTACCTGGTCTCTGCTATAGTGACAATGCCATCAGCCATAGGGTTCATTGAAGGCTCAGGCTCCTCTACACATCCTTCAAAATTATTCTCACGTATAATTTTAGGGCACACTTTCTTTCAGGGAGATCTCAGTGTCCCTTGGGAGACATTGGCACAGGACTTCTTAATTAACCCCACATAGGAAAGGTGTTATACTGTTCCTTCTATAACTCTTTAAAGGTTACATCTGTGTCTGAAGCCATCTGCAAGCATTTTAGGAACAGTTCCATAATGCATAGCTTCTTAAATTTGGCTATAACCTGCTGGTCCATATGCTGCAGTAAAGGAGTTGTACTAGGTGGAAATAACTCAACTGAGAGCCATGAGAATTTTTCAGCCAATTATTCTTCCAAATCTTGTGAGTGAACAGGAGCATTGTCCATGATGAGGAGAGCCTTGAGTTGTAAACCTTTGTCCTCCAGGTATTTCTTGACAGTAGGCCAGAAAACCTCCCTCATGTACCCAAGAAAAATTACTTTATTATCCAGGTTTTTGCATTGGATCTCCACATGACCCCTAC